CGAACGGTTGAAGAGCTCTCAAAATACATCGAAATTTGGAAAAAATGTTAACAGAATAATAATACATTCTAGGAAACGTTTATTTAATCGAAATCATTTCATTGTTTTTGAAATCGTAACGAAGCTCTCAATTCTTTTAATACACACTGAATGGTACAAATTGAAAAATAGAATAGCACCAAGGAAGTTAAAATTAGTTTCTAGTATTATCTTTTAATAATACACTTGAAATTTTTATTTTACGATTATTGAAATTGCGAGGATAGTCTTGATCAAAAGTAAGCCTCCAGTTTTATTATATTGTATCGAGTTTGCAATGTTTGAATTGGATTTTATGCATTTGCGACAAAAAAATGAATGAGTGAAACATAAAGATAATTTAATATTACTAACCATACAAATTATTCGCAGAATAATGGTGTATTATGGTGTATTATAGCGTATTATTATGTATTAATATGTACTATTATGTATTATTTTATATTATTATGTATTATTATATATTATTACGTATTACTACGTATTACTATGTATCACAATGTATTATTATGGAGTGTTATGTATTACTGTATATTACTATGCATTACTATGAACTTAGTTTCGAGTGGTAGCCAGCAAGCCGCGAGAGTGCACCTAAAAGTGTCAAATGTTATCGGGCACCCACGGGCGAGGAAGAGCCGACGTATTTCTTACCATCGAAATTTTGCCGCGGCGTTATTCGATTAGGTGAAAAAGCAGGCAACGTTGCTTGACACGCAGACCACAGCGCGGAATACATAAATTAGAAAATGGGCGTCGTTGCGGGTCAGATATAGGTGTAAGGACGTGATTCCGAGCTTGCACACCAAGTTTCCACGGGATCGTCAGACTTCTTGCTGGACTTTTTCTAGACCGCGCGCGATATGGAAAATGCGGTGCACGTTCGCGTTCGAGATCTGCACATGACAAGCGTTTCAAACATGCACGTGTGTGGATATCGAGTGCAACGTCACAGCCCGGACAGGTATTAACTCGAAATAGAATGACAAATGGAGAGAGAAAAAAGAATTGAAAGTGAAACGTTCGGGACGAAGAAACGCCCTGGCGGATTGCTGATTAATAAATTCGTCGTACGTTTGTATTGCTGGACAATTATTCTGTCGAACAACGATTTCTAACGTTGTTGCTATCGATATGTAGATCGTGGATTTCATGAATTTATGACGGGAACGAGTAAGTGAAACGCGGAATTGGTGGAAGGTTAAATGGATTTTGGAAAAGAGTTACGATATCTTTAATTTAATTAGAATATCTAATACGTTAAAATAATTAACAGAACTAGATTGCGGATTTTATGCATTCATTGCAAAAATTAGGGATTGAAACACAGAATAAGTTGAATGTTAAATGAATTTGGGAAAATCGCTACAATATTTTTAATACGTTCGGATGATTAAGAGAAGAAATTCCAATGATTCTAACAGTAATTACAATCAATTTTATGTTTTACATTTTATTTAAATTTTAAGACAATTCTTTTACCATA